GCATACATTTCATACTGGCCCCCCGTGGGAAACGAACCCACAACCCTGGCGTTGCAAGCGCCATGCTCTACCAGAATTGGGTATGACAGTTGTACGTACCTTACACTGTATTTTTTAAAATAGAAAATACCATTTAACAGCAGTTACTTTTTCAGGTTGAACCTTTTATTATTTTAATCTTAAAATGACTTCTGACCAAAAATGTAACACAATTGCAACCGATTTCTACTCAGATCTTTACAAAAGGCAGCCCCTAAGGGGTTAAAATGCCATCAGTGCCATCAGTTGTTAGGCTCTGAGCTCGCTATTTGGCCTGGGGCTTGAACCTCCACCTGTTGACTGTTGGATCCCTGCCTTTGCAAGGCAGTCACCTCGCCGTCCGCATGCATAGCTCTCCGACCCTCAGCAGCCCTGCCGGAGACTGAGGAGATCCCCTCAACCCCTCCCTGGGGTATAAACTCCTCCCTACGTGTCACGGGAGAGTAGAAGCTGTGAAACAGCTGGCTGGAGGGATGGGTAGGCGAGTGGCGGGCGATGGCCTTGGGGCCTTTAGCTCTGGGGCCCGCCTCTCCGGAGTGGATCCTGCTATCGTTGAAAACCTGCTGCTGGGGAGAGGTTACCTCTTTCCCCCCGCTTCCTCCCCGCACCGCTGCCGAACATGACCCCTCAGCGTTGAGGTATGTGCTCTCCACGCCGGGAGACCGCGGCCCAGCCTCGCTCCACACTAAAGCTCCGTGTCGCTGGAGAAACGGGAAACAGACATGAATATAACTGGGGGGAAGCAGAGGGTGGAGAGGGGGAAGGGAGGGAGGAAGAGATGGGGGAATGCAGCTGTGGCTGGTAGTTGAGTTCATCGCATGGTTCAAACGCTGTCCAAAGTTAACTCCCTGAAGGAGCAAAGGAACGTTTTGAGAGTGTTTGAAGGCTAATATTAATTTGCTTTGAATCCCATTTAATTGCATTTCTTGGAACATTCACAAAACGTTCTGAGAAAGTAATTAAGAGTATTCTCAATTCATTAAAATACCTTTATGGTATAACATTTGTAACATTGCAATATTACATTTGATTTTGGAAAAATACTATACATTCCAGGCCATTACTAATACACATGATTTAACACTGAACCCATGGGCTGGTCTCCTAGACACAGATTAAAATGCTTTCAATGGAGAGTCTCCATAGAGAATGTCCAGGACTAGGCTTAATCTGTGTCTGGGAAACCTGCCCTATGAGTTTCCAGGAACTGGTATAAATCTTACCCTTCCTTGGTATGGTTGGTGCTGTAATGTCCTTGAATCATATTGGTGAATGAAGGACATGTGCTCCAGCAACACTTTTGGGCTACCAATAGGGCTCAGTACGGGAACTGTGAACCATAAGCCATGAAGTAAAATGTCACTCACTGCAGTTAAATAGTTCAATATTGTTGCACTGATCACCTTTTAAATGCAACTAAGCAATACAAATCTATTTGTTCCAAATCCATTCACTCCTTCAACCCCAAGTGCTGACCTGACATAATAGCAATGCCTTTAGTTGAGTCTAATGCAGGTGAATGTAAAATATTAATTGGATAACAAACACACACAATCATGAATGTGCTTGCGCAAACACACACACAGACACGCACATGCACACACACACACACACACACACACAGCTCACTGATTCCTGAAGCAGGCACTCTGTTGTTGTTCCTCCCATGTCTGACCAGGGCGTGCGTTTGCTGAATGGCCTGGTAATCTTTTCTCTGAGTGCTGTCCTTTCTGTAAGGTGCCTGGGTGCTCACATCGTGATACGATGTATTGGGCCACCAGTGACACTGTTATAAATCTCATGGAGAGAAAATGAATTATCATGGAATGAAATGTAACTAAACTGGAAGATATTTTATTTATCCAGCATTTAACTGAACTAAACTGGTCATAGCAGAATTGTTACAATTATGAATAACATTTCATGGAACATACCTGCTCAGCCATTGTACTCTCTGTCTCCATGTGAGAAATGGGTGCATTCATGAACCTGACATTGGTTCTTATGAACTTGGCATTGTACATTTGTGGGGTATTGTGTATTTTAAGCTGATCATATTCCTTGGGATCTCTCTTAGGATATGAATGGAATTTATAGACTTTATCAGGGTCCAATCTGTCAGGTATCTTCTCATCAAATATCCTGTATGTATTTGAGCTAAGACAGAGGGAAAGAGTCAATCTTACTTAAAGTTTGCAACACCAAAAAAAACGGCAGGAAATAGGCCTACCTCCAAATCACATACAGCATTACCAATGCTGTTGTTGCAATAGGACATAGCCTAACAAATAGAAACAATTCACATGCAACAGTATAGCATTGGGTTGTAAATAATTGCCTGCCATAGAAACGTTTATAAACGAAAACATTATTTTAATTTAATACAAATATTCATTAAAATACCTCGTGGAATACTTGCAAGTGTGCACACAATGATTATGAAGAAAGTTTATTGAATCAATATTTGGTATTTGGCATTTTATTAGCTACTCTTCCTGGGGTCCACACAAAACATGAAACATGACATAACACAGAACATTAATAGACAAGAGCAGCTCCAAGGACAGAACTACATACAACATTTTTTATGTAGCCTACATATCAATACATACACACAAACTATCTAGGTCAATCATTAGCCATAAGTCTTCTGAACATTGATCTAGGCTTTTTACAATCGGAAATACTGTACTTACTGGAAAGACTCGCGGACTTTCTTCTTTCTAGGCAAGCAGATTTCAGCACACTGATACATTTTACTCATGATAAAGTGAAATGTGTGTGTTAGAAATTATCGTGTGGACTTCCGCAGCAAATTCATTATTTCCAGGTTGCTAAGCGACTTAATTATTGCGCAGTGGCCATTCACCTGGCGACACAAGTTGTAACAATGGTCAATGTAACACTAACCGTTTCCACTTTCAAGAGCAACCCTATGCTTATCTGTATATTTATTTTTACAGTTAGCAACCTAGGTATAAATCAATACAAGGTCTTGAAATTTCGCATATATTTCTGCTAAACCATTGTCAAATAACTCTTAAATCACATGTGACAACCCTTCCACAATCGCCAAATAAGAAATACATAGGAGAATAATCTGTGGTAAATTGTATAACTTGTTGCCTATAAATTGTGTATATGCAGGACTCCTTTGCGAAAGAGGATTTGGTCTCAATGGGACTCCTTGTGAAAATAAAAGTTAAATAAAAAGTATGCATTTTTACAGTAGGCCAACCAACTGAACCTTTAGGCAGATATAGGATTAAATCTGAGTACTAGCATAGGCCTACTGTATTAGTCCATTATACAGACAAGGGAAATTTGTCTTCCTGCTTAAGCCCTAATTGACTTAGGCTATACAACTAACTACTCTTAAAGTAACTGTCCAGTGTTCCCAGATTTCTATTAAATATGACCTATAATTAATTACAATATGAGTGAAATAGATTTCCTTCCAAAAAATTGTAATTAAATATGTTAAAAAGCAGCTTTTCTGTGTTGGATAGTGTTGAGCGATTAGTGTTTTTTGATGTCGGTTCTTTTTGAGGTCGGTTCAGTTTCGGTTCGATTATAAAGAAATAATAATGGTTTTCGATTTCAATATTTTTTTTCAATAATTGCATTATGAAATAACATTTTAGTCATTTAGCAGACGCTCTTATCCAGAGCGACTTACAGGAGCAATTAGGGTTAAGTGCCTTGCTCAAGGGCACATCGACAGATTTTTCACCTAGTCGGCTCGGGGATTAGAACCAGCAACCTTTCGGTTACTGGCACAACGCTCTTAACCACTAAGCTACCTGCCGCCCCATTCATTCTGATATTAAAATGATTTTAGAGCTTTACCTTTTTTTTAAGCCTAAAATAGTGAACATTCAATTGCCAAAAATTTTTCCATTGTCTCTGTCAGCTTCACATTGGGTAGACATTAATAGAAAAATTGTTAGTATAATTAAAACCTTTTTTTTTACTATGAAATAATTCAATATTTCAGTTGTGTATATTACTTAGTTTTATTTGATTGCTTTTTATTTTTCATTCCTTAAAGTCATCATCTCATCTCTGTTCAGGCAGTAGCAGCCAGCCAGACCATCTAATGTCATCTCTGTGCTGCCCATACTGTACTGTCTATACTTAGCTAAGCTAGCCTGCCTAAATACAGATGCCAGATCTTAATATGAACCATTTTGTCACAGGAGGAAAAACATCCTGCAGCAGAAGGATTTTAATAAATATTAAATATTTAGAATCGCCACTAGAGGGTAGCTGGAAGCGGTGTTTGTAGGCTATACAATGCACTGCAGTATCATACCTAGGGGGCTATGGTTTGGGGAAGGCTCTGCAAACAAACCTACCTCATACTATCAAGTATATGGACGAGTGATGTCAGAGCGGCATGGACTAAGATACAGTAGAATAATATAGAATACAGTATATACATATGAGATGAGTAATGCAAGATATGTCAACATTATTAAAGTGTCTAGTGTTCAATTTCTTAAAGTGGCCAGTGATTTCAAGTCTATGTCTATAGGCAGCAGCCTCTAATGTACTAGAGATTACTGTTTAACAGTCTGATGGCCTTGAGATAGAAGCAGTTTTTCAGTCTTTCGGTCCCAGCTTTGATGCACCTGTACTGACCTCGCCTTCTGGATGATAGCGGGGTGAACAGGCAGTGGCTCGGGTGGTTGATGTTCTTGATTATCTTTTTGGCCTTCCTGTGACATCGGGTGCTGTAGGTGTCCTGGAGGGCGGGTAGTTTGCCCACGGTAATGCGTTGGGCAGACCGCACCACCCTCTGGAGAGCCTTGCGGTTTAGGGTGGTGCAGTTGCCTAACCAGGCGGTGATACAGCCCGACAGGATGCTCTCAATTGTGCATCTGTAAAAGTTTGTGAGGGTTTTAGGTGCCAAGCCAAATCTCTTTAGCCTCCTGAGGTTGAAGAGGCTCTGTTGCACCTTCTTCACCACATTATCTGTGTGGTTGGTCCATTTCAGTTTGTCAGTGATGTGTACGCCAAGGAATTTGAAGCTTTCCACCTTCTCCACTGCGGTCCCGTCGATGTGGATAGGGGGGTGCACCCTCTGCTGTTTCCTGAAGTCCACGACCATCTCCTTTGTTTTGATGACGTTGAGTGAGAGGTTATTTTCCTGGCACCACACTCCCAGAGCCCTCACCTCCTCCCTGTAGGCTGTCTCGTCATTGTTGGTAATCAAGCCTACTACTGTTGTGTCCTCTGCAAACTTGATGATTGAGTTGGAGGCGTGCTTGGCCACACAGTCATGGGTGAACAGGGAGTACAGGAATGGGCTGAGAATAGACTAAGGGCGATTGATGTATTTGACATTAGCTAGGTTTCCATCCAATTGGCGACAGATTTTCATGAGAATATAAAAAAAATCTGCATAAAGAAAATATGTGTATTTTCCCACAAGTGGTGTGTTTCCAACAAACTGACTTGTTGTGGATACAAATCAGTGCGTGATGATGTAGTGCACACAAAATGTACTTTTTTCGCTTACGTTTTTAGGTACCAAATAAACATCTAAAGTTCAATGTGTTTCCATAGTATTTTCAACTATAACAATAGTTTTTTCACAAAAAAAACAACGTTAAATAGCAAATGTGCCTACTCTGGTCTTGGCACTTGTGCTCTAGCCAACAGCTCGCAGATACAGTGCGGATAGGCTAGTCTACATGATGAGATTATTATTATTATTATTATTATTATTATTATTATTATTATTATTATGTATAGAGTGAGAATTTGTGAGGGATAAACGCTGACGTTCTGTCCATTACCTTGGAAATAATGGACGACGCTGCAGGACAAGGTGGAGCCGAGTCCCTTTGCAGAGTTCATTTCTCCAAGGCAATGAAAACAATACTTAAGCACACATTTAATGGTAGAAATAAAAATAACTTTAATATTTTCATTTTTATAAAATAATTCATACTTTCTCATCTTTTGGTTGCAAGAGACGCGACCCAGTCGTTCGTTCTATATGTTCCGTTGCCATGCTCGCTGGCAACGTTCTTATCCCTTGCTTGCTAGCTAGCCAACTATTTAAAGCTAACACAGTCATGACCTCTGCAGCCAGAATAACAGCAAAGTTGTTGCATTTGCATTTTTAAAGATGTTTTCTATTGAAATTAATCTGGATACATCCATAACAATGAGCTGATGATGCCCGATTTTGCATGACACAGCTAGAAAAGTTTGCCTTCTCGTCAGGACACTCAACACTGTTCATTACATTGCATATCAAACACCAGGCTCGAAGCTAGCTAAATATTTTTTTGCAAGCAAACCTGCCAATATGACAACCGAATTCAAAAATACCAGTTGATAAAAACAGCTGGTCAAATTAGAAACATGGGAGGATTTGACAGCATAGCGCCACTTGTGTCATGACTGTAACAGTAACGTTAGAGAGCAGTGAAATTCATGTTCATCCCTCACCACGTTAGGTCATCAAATGCTCCAAAAAAATAAGTCTTCTGCAAAAACAAATAAAAGATAGCTAACTAGCTAGCTAAGTTTTTTCTGGTTGGACCTGCGTTTACAATGTATCCAATTTCGGTGTGATTGTTGGTTTAGCTTTCTGTAACTTCGTAGCAAATACGGTCTGTGTGTGTAGGTGCATTTTGTGTCATGATTGCAAGGTGTCCCGATATATTTTCCAACTGTCCTGATGTCTTTTCCCACTGTCCCATTATCTGGTTTCAAATCAATTTTACAGACACAAAAAGATCCCACCATGTCGAACGAACAAATTATCTGTCGGCATTTATAAAACTGTACCTTTAACTTCCTGTTTCAATCACAGCTGCCGTGACATTTTTTTTTTTTACAAGGTATGACTTTACTCACATAGAAACTATGGCTGGAAACGTGGTTATAGACAAGGATTCCGTACAATAGAAATAAAGTATTTCCTCATTTACCACGGCAAATCTACTGTGGCAATTTAGCCGACACGTTGTATGAACGGAAACTAATGTTGGTATAGCCTACTGACTATTTGTTTCCTATTCATGTTATCCAAAAGTATCTGGTATGGTAATTTATTATCTAGATTTGGGGTAAAGTAACCATGGACTGTTCATATTTGAAATGTGTAACTACATTAAGCCAATAGCTTTATTTGTGGGCTGGAATCGAACCCACGCAGACACAGTTGGCCTATATCTGCGTGCTGAGGGCAGTGGTCCTAACCGCTAGACCTTAGGATACACTAGACACTTGTATGTCGTAGCCTAGTGGAGACCAATATCTATCTTGTGTTATTAAGCTATATAAAACAATGGTTGTTGATGTGTATGGCTGCATTTCAGATACATTTTTATAGATTTGAATGTTGCAGTATGCCTAGTGTTCGCGCGAGCGAGAGACAACATTATTTTGATAGCACTGATCCCAATGACTCGACTGCCCCCTGCACGGGGAGAAAGAGAACTGCTCATTTTCAGTCACTCACGAGGCTCATTTGAATATCCTGATTGAATCAGGAAAATTCGCCATGACAAAAGAGTGGTCAAGTTAAGATCGGACATCTGTATGCACCAGAGCTGTCTGATGAAATCATTGGACTAGTTCTTCAAAGTAGATAAAGCATACTTTCACAAACTGTCTCTACCCCTCTCATCATTGTGTACATTCTTCTCTCATGCAGTCTGTTTGTATCTAACCTAGCAAAGCAGGCGTAAAAGTGTATCTGTCTCTGTCTGAGACGGAAAGAACAGGAGCAAT